CTACTACTACTACTAGTAATACTACTACTACTACTACTACTACTACTACCACTACTACTACTACTACTACTACTACTACTACTACTACTACTACTTCTACTTATACTTCTACTTCTACTTCTACTTCTACTTCTACCTCTACTACTTCTACTACTTCTACTACGTTTTCTTATACTTCGTCTTCTATTACTACTACTCCTACTCCTAGTCCTACCCCTACTTCTCCTGCTCCTACTCCTACTCCACCGTGCAAGCTCTCAAGCGATGCTCCGTACATAAGAGCGCGTAGTCGGTCGACCCTCGCCCGCGATGCATATACCTGCCCGCGCTTTGTCCAATCCTGAGTTTACCATGTGCCTTCTCGCCCTCCTCGTCCGTCCACCTTCCTCCCGTACATCTCTAATGTCACGTGTGCCTCACGTGTCCTTCCTGCCAGGTGGGCCGCCACAGCCGCCACCCCAGCCGCCAGCGCTGGCACCGGGCTGCCCTGGAAAGGCCCTGCTCTTGGACGGAAGAGGTGGTAGATGGAGGTGGTGGTGGTGGTGGTCGTGGTGGTGGAGGAGCTCCGCTGCGATCAACGTCAGATGGTTGGAGGAGGTTCTTCGGCATCACCCCCTCACTGCTAGGCCTTGGCGCTCCACGACCGGAGGGCGCCAGCGATAGTGCCACTCGGTAGCCATCGGCGCACGGCCGTTTTGCAATGAAGCTCGCGACAGGACATTCGGCGGGAGAAGGAGGGGAGGAGGCCCTGAAAGGAGCAGGAGGAGGAGGGGGGGAGGAGGAGGGAGGAGGAGGAGGGGAGGGGAGGAGGGGAGGACGGGAGGGGAGGAGGGGAGGACGGGAGGAGGGGAAGGAGGAGGGGAGGAGGGGAAGAGGAGGAAGTCGTTCCCCGTCCGCCTCCCTCCCCATCCCTCGCGTGCCGCCCTCCCTCCCGAGCCCCCGTGCGGCTCCCGAGGGGACCAGCAGTTGTCGGCGGAGGGGGCGGCAGCAGGCGAGGCGGGACAGGACCACTGCGTGTGGACGTCGAGAACAGGCGTGTTGTTAGGCGTGTGGACGGGCTCGTCCCTCTACAGGAGGGGATAATTTTTTAAACATTTGTGGATCATGTTTGAATTTGTTTGGAACATTTTGCAGTTTCCATCGGAACATGGCCCGTAGGGGGACATACCCGACCTAAGCTTAGGCCAGGGGCAACGATGGGGGGATTGAGCTCAGGAGGGGGATGCATCGACCCCCAGTCGCTCACTTGTCGCTCATAGGGACCGATTGCCCACCCCGCCCAGGAAAGTGCGGATTTTCCAACGGGGGGTTATCGTCGATCTATCGGCGGCGGATCGCGGATTCCAGGTCGATGTCCCCCCCCCTCCCCCCTAGCTGGTTCCCCCTTTTGCCCCTCAGAGGAAGAGCCCCTCAGAGGAGGAGGAAGAGGAGAAGGAGGAGGAAGAGGAGGAGGAAGAGGAAAAGGAGGAGGAGGAGGAGAGGAGCAGGAGGAGGAGGAAGAGGAGTAGGAGGAGGAAGAGGAGGAGGAGGAGGAGGAGGAGGGGAAACCCAACAGTCCCTAACAATGTTGGGATTAACCCTCTCTCCAAGCTCCCTCTTCATAAGCCCCTACAATGGGTCGTTGAAGGTCCTGAAGCGTGCCAAAGCATTGTTCTCGGGATTTCAACGTCACGTATCAACTTGACTGCTGCAATCCAGAATCGGGCCAGAACGCCCATTTTGGGACTCCAACACAGCGAGTCAACATAACTGCTGCGCCCGCATAATCCTGAACCCTTCCAAAACACCATTTCTGTTACGTTGGTCATGTGACCACGTGAAACTCGTGTAAACTTTACAAACGAATGTGCGCGGCGCTCAGGCGACAGCCGCATGTTGATAAAGAACCGCTCTCAATCCGTGAAACTCTTGCAATTCTTGCAAACCAAAAAACAAATGTGCGCGGCGCTCAAGCGAGAGCCACAGTTTGAAAAGGAACCGTCCTCAATCCGTGAAGCCCTTGCAGATGTTTACATCGAATGTAGGCGGCGTTAAGGCGAGAGCCACATGTTGAAAACGACCCGTCCTCAATCCGTGAAGTGTTTGCAAATGTTTAAAACGAATGTGCGCGGCGCTAAAGCGAGAGCCACATTTTAAAAAGGAACCGCCCTCAATCCGTGAAGCTCGTGCACATGTTTAAAACGAATGTGCGCGGCGCTAAGGCGAGAGCCACATTTTGAAAGCCACCCACCCTCCATCTGTGAATCTGCGGTTACTTGTTAAATTTCAGAGTCATAAGTGGTGAGGACGTCTCGGGCGAAACGCCCGGCCCACCCTAACAAATTGCTTCGGTGTGCGGCAGGGAGAAGTTCTCTATAAGGAGAAGGAATGGAGGAGGAGGAGGAGGAAGAGGAGGAGGAGGAGGAGGAGGAGGTCGACGATCTGTTGGCGGCGATGCACTGGTGATTCCATGTCGCTGTTTCCCCCTCCCTGCGCTGGCTCCCCCTGGTTGTTGTTGCCACTCGGAGGGCCTGGGCCTGGTCACGTCGTCCGGAGCGGGGAGGCCCGCAGGGCCCTGGACTTCTCCCCAGCGTGGCACAGACCTCCTCCTGGCAGCGAGAAGGAGCGACCCCCTCTCCCTAACAACACGATGAAGACCTCCCCGCCTTTGCATTAGGGGTAATGTTCTGGATGTTCGGGATCCATGCATCTGCAGAACAGGCCCCCTATCCCTAATTCGTTGGGCATCTCAACTTAGGTCCCTTATCGCCTATCATCTGGCGTCAAGTTGTTGAAGCTGGATTCCCCATCCAACGTCGTCGACGCTGGATGGGGGCTCGAATTGAGCCCTTGCGCTCTGCTCGCAGCCTCGAGGCAGCTTTAGCCGCTAGCCCTGTTGGCGAGGAGGACGGAGAACGTCCAACATCCTCCTCCTCCTCCTCCTCCTTCTCCTCCTCTCGCTCGCAGCGCTGCAGAAGCGATCCCTTGTCCGCGCTCGGGCGCCCGCCGCCGCGACCGAGGAGGCCCTCGGGCACCACCAGAGGACTTGGCTCCCGTTTCGGAGGAAGGGGGAGGAGGAGGGTGAGGCTGCTCAATTTTCTTCCCTCCTCCTCATCCTCCTCCTTGCTCCTCCCTCCTCTTCCTCCTCCTCCTCCTCCTCCTCCAACTCGGGGGTGGTCAAGAGGGGGTGATCACCATAGGGTCGTGCGGGTGTCATGGCGGGAGCCATGTTGGCTCCCCGGACTTCACAGCCCCTCCTCTCTGTCTGGGGCGGCCAAGAGGGGGGTGATGACTAGGGGGGGGTGGACATCATGGCGTGGACCATGATATTTCCCAAGATTTCATGGCGCCTCTTCTTCTTATTTCATTGCGTCCCTGGCCCCCCCACTGGGCCGCGCACATGCCACAGGCCATGATTTGTGCCCCTCTCTTCTTTGACGCCCCCCTCTTGGCCGCTCCCGACTCTGGCGACGGCATCTCTTCATCATATCCGCTGCTCCCTGGCCAGGTCCATCCTGAACCCAGGAGTCGTGTACACGCCCTCCTGGCCACGCCTGGAGGGCGTGGCGTATACACCGCTGCCTGGGTTCAGGGTGGGCCTTGGCCAGAGAGGAGGAGGAGAAGGAGGAGGAGGAGGAAGAAGAGGAGGAGGAGGAGGGGGAGGAGGAGGAGCAGGAGGAGGAGGAGGAGGAGCAGGAGGAGCAGGAGGATGAGGAGCATGAGCATGAGCATGACCATAAGACGATGTCTTGAAGAGAAGCCCTCTCCCCTGCTCAGAAGACGGACGAGACGAGGAAGCACCACAGCGCGAACTATTCGAAATACATGAACTGACAAACTGAGAATCGCACCAATATTGTGTGCTGCGATGTCAACCGAAACTGTGACACACCCAGTGCACACTCAGGCCCGAGATACACAGCTTGGCAGCGCTGACAGGATTGCGCTTTCACCATTATTGCAGGTTCCTCGATACACAACTCTAACTGCTAGGCCAAACCATACCCACTGAATGCTGTGAGACGCCGCGCCCGACGGCTGCCGAACAAGGAAGAAGAAGAAGAGGACGGTGAGCAGGACAGCACTTTGAACGCTCCATTGATGAAAAGCACCAGAGCTGACAGCCCACCACAAAATTGAGAACATTGGGATCCAACCACCAGAGATGCAACATACCCTACCCAGGCGGAGATGGGAGATGCCAACATGTTAGCTGATGACGCCCAGGCACCGACACTTTCGCCTCGCCCTTAGCCGACCCACGTCCCGTCGGAAATCCCGGAGCTGCGGGTAGCCCCAAGCACGCCGCGAGGAGGCGACGAGGCAGGACCCATGGCGCGTTTGAGCCAACAGGGATCAACGCGCCTTGGGCCCCATGTGCTTGCAGGAGGAGGAGGAGGAGCAGGAGGAGGAGGAGGCCGAGTAGGTTTCGTCGCCCGATCCTCTTCTTTCAGTGCGCTCCCCTGGCCCCCCCCTCGCCCGCGCTGACACCTCGGGCCACGCTCTGCGACCACCCCCCGTGTGGACGCCCCCGCGGAAGGGAGGGGGGCGCCCGCGCCCCCTCCCCTCAGGCGCAGGAGCTCCGGCCTGGTCGGCTGGTGGGCGTGGACACGGGCACCGCGCGCTCCCTCTTCGAGCCTTCCATGGCGGCTCGGGAGAGGTCAGGGGCAACGTCGGGGACTACGTCAGGGGGGGGGGGGTCAGTGGGCTCAGGGGGGGGGCATCGGCCCCCCACTGATCGCCGAAGGGGCCCGATGGTCCACTCCAACCAGGAACGTGCGGGTTTGCCATCCGGGGCTTTTCGCCGATCTATCGGCGACGGCTCGCCGATTGCATATCGATGTTTCCCCCCCTGAGCTGGGCCCCACTTGTCGTTGCCCCTCAGAACAGGAGGACGTAGTCGTCCTTCTCTTCTCTCGTCGTCGTCTGCTTCTTCCCCCCCCTTCCGTAGTCGACGTCGGGGGGTCGAGGCGAGGATCACGATACGGAGGAGAAGGAGTGGGAGTCAAAGGAGCAGTCGGAGGATGCGAACATGGGCTGGAGGTGGGAGGAGAATGCGGAGCACGGGAGGGTGGGGGCGGGGAGCAGGAGGAGCGTGAGGAAGGGGAAGAGGTGGATGAGGAAGCGGAGGAGGAGACGGAGGAGGAGGAGGAGGAGGAGGAGGAAAGAGGAGGCGTGCGTAGCAGGCGAGGACGCAGCAGCTACCATTGCAATTCAGATCCAACGTTGTGCTCTTCATGTGCTCAATATATCCGTAAGGGCTTCGCCCCCTGCCGCCGGTCCCCTCTCTCGGAGAATGGGCCATGGAAGAGCTAAGTCATGAGGCCTTGGCGCTGTCGTGAAGCAGTATCGAAACTTCATGCGAAGCCGATTCGCAATCAGCAAAACCAACTGATCACAAGAGGGGTTACCACACCTGGCGATTGGTAAGACGTGTATGGTTTACGGGCTTGGTTACCACACCTTGCGATTAAAGGGCCGAGGGAGTTCTCGCAGTTTGGGTTACCACGCCTTGCGATGGATGTGCGTGAAGGGTGGCACCGAATTTCAGAAATGTGGCACATCCCCTGTGTTTTTGGACCCTGACCCCGCGGATCTGCGTAAGGGGTGGCGCCGAATTTCAGAAATGTGGCAAATCCCTTGTGTTTTTGGACCCTGACCCCGCGGATCTGCGTGAGGGGTGGCACCGAATTTCAGAAATGTGGCAAATCCCTTGTGTTTTTGGACCCTGACCCCGCGGATCTGCGTGAGGGGTGGCACCGAATTTCAGAAATGTGGCAAATCCCTGTGTTTTTGGACCCTGACCCCGCGGATCTGCGTGAGGGGTGGCACCGAATTTCAGAAATGTGGCAAATCCCTTGTGTTTTTGGACCCTGACCCCGCGGATCTGCGTGAGGGGTGGCACCGAATTTCAGAAATGTGGCAAATCCCTTGTGTTTTTGGACCCTGACCCCGCGGATCTGCGTGAGGGGTGGCACCGAATTTCAGAAATGTGGCAAATCCCTGTGTTTTTGGACCCTGACCCCGCGGATCTGCGTGAGGGGTGGCACCGAATTTCAGAAATGTGGCAAATCCCATGTGTTTTTGGACCCTGACCCCGCGGATCTGCGTGAGGGGTGGCACCGAATTTCAGAAATGTGGCAAATCCCCTGTGTTTTTGGACCCCGACCCCGCGGATCTGCGTGAGGGGTGTCGATTTCGAGCCCTCCCAGCAATTCAGACAACGCGCCCAGGGGGTGCCAAAAAGCCGGTTTGGGCCTCCCCCCCCTCGCGCGGTCAATCAACTATTTACAGTGACCCGCAATAAGCAGAACTGTAACACTGGAAACTACAAGCTACAACTGGTACAGGAAACTGCGAATCCCGCTCCTACAGCCTGGTGGCCCCACAAGGGAGCCGGCGGATTTGGTTTACGATGGCAAGGAGACTAAGATAATGGGCAAGGGCAGGAAGAGATGGGATGCGGGAGGGGGGACATGAACGAGACGATGGTGATGATGATGGTGATGCTGATGATCGTGATGACGATGCTGCTGCTGATATGATGCTGATGCTGACGCTGACTATGATGCTGCTGATGATGATGTTGATTATGATGATGCTGATGGCTATGCATAAGATGCTGCTGATGATGGTGGTGATGATGCTGTTGATGCTGTTGTTGATGATCTTGATTCTGATGATGGTGATGATGCTCATGGTGGCAACGATCCCGATGGTGACGATGATGATGGTGATGCTGATGATGATGACTATGATGGTCATCATGACGATTCTGAGTCGGATGACTATGGCTAGGATGAAGTTGATGATGCTGATGCCGATGATGCTGATGCTGATGATGCTGCTGATGCTGATGATGATGCTGAGGATGTTGATGATGCTGGTGAAGCTGATGATGATGGTGATGATAATGATGATGATGCTGATGACGATGCTGGTGATGATTATGATGACGATGATAATCATGACGGTGATGCTGATGATGAGGATGTTGATGTTGCTGATGACGATGATGATGTTGATGACGATGACGATGATGATGGTGAGGATGATGATGATGATGCTGATGCTGATGTTGATGCTGATGATGATGGTGAGGATGATGCTGATGATGATGCTGTTGCACATGATGATGATTTTTTTATGATGATGATGATGATGATGATGATGATGATGATGATGATGATGATGATGATGATGATGATGATGATGATGATGATGATGATGATGGTGCTGCTGATGATGATGATGATGATGCAGATGCTGATGCTGATGCTGATCAGGAGGAGGCGGAGGAGGAGGAGGAGGAGGAGGACACATAGCGAGGATGCAGGGAGGGGGAATTGGGAGATCGGATGAGGAGAAGAAGAAACACTCCAGGGTTCTCTGTCCAGTAGAGCGGGGAGCATAGAGGAGGAGGAGGAGGAGGAGGAGGAGGAGGAGGAGGAGGAGGAGGAGGAGGAGGTGGCGGAGGAGGAGGAGGAGGAGGAGGTGGAGGATTTGGAGGAGTTGGAAGATTCGGAGGAGTTGGAGGAGAAATTGGAGGAGGAAGAGGAGGAGGAGGGGGAGGGGAAGGAGGAGGAGAAGGCCCAGTGCAAACCTAAGACTCATCAACGATGTTGGAGTTCACCCTCCCTCCAAGCTCCCTCTTCGGAGGCACCTACAACGGTTCATTCCTGTTGAACGAATTGCTCCGTTGGAAGACAACCGTTTGAAGATCCTGAAGCATGCCAAACAAACTTGTCCTCGGGATTTCAACGCCACGGATCAACCTGATTGTTGCGTCTTGACGATCCGGAATCGTGCCAGATCGCCGTGTTTGGGACTTCAACACCGCGAGCCATCACAATTGTTGCATCCGCATAATCCTGAATCCTTGCAAAATACCATGTGTGGTGCGTTGATCATGGGAACCCGTGGGACGCGCAGCGCTAAGGCGAGAGTCACATTAAACAACCGGCCTGCCCTGAATCCGTGAAACTCTTGCAAGCGTTTGAAAAGAATGGGTGCGGCGCTAAGGCGAGAGCCACATTTTGAAGACGACCCGCCCTCAGTCCTTGATTTTTCTGCGAATGTTTAAAACGAATCTGCGCGGCGCTAAGGCGAGAGTCACGTTTTGACAACGACCCGCCCTCCATCTGTGAAACATTGTTGCCACCTTTTTTCAAACGAGTATGCGCGGTGCCAAGGCAAGATCCACATTTTGAAAACGACCTGCCCTCCATCTGTGAAACTGTTGTCACTTTTTAAGCTTCAGAGTCATACTTGGTGAGGAAGTCTCAGGCGCAACGCCAGGCCCGCCCTAAAAACTGGCTTCGGAGAGCGACAGGGAGAAGTCATTCACAAGGAAAAATAATGGAGGAGGAGGAGGAGGACGAGGCGTTGGACGAGTTGGAGGAGGAGGAGTTGGAGGAGGAGGGGGAGCAGGAGCAAGGTGTCCGGGAGGAGGAGAGGGAGGAGGAGGAGGAGGAGGAGTGATGGAGGAGAAGTTGGAGGAAGAGGGGGAGTTGGAGGAGAAGGGGGAGGAGGAAGAGGGGGATGGAAAGGGGTAAGGGGAGAGATGATTAGGGAAGGAGGGGGGAACCTTCGCCTACTCGCAGGCAGTGCAGCCACGGGTCTCTCTTGCCGAGCGTTGCCCCAGCAGCTGCCCTCTTCGATCCGCTCTTCTGCCGGCCCTTGTGGCAGTTCGGGCCGAGTCAGCCGCAGACCGTCCTTCTCCTATTCTTCCTCCTTCTCCTCCTCGTTCTCCCCCTCCCCCTTCCTCCTCCCCCTCATCCTCTTCCTCAGCTTTCTCCCCCTCCTCCTTTTCAGCCTCCTCCTCCCTCCTTCTCCACCTCCACTCATTCCCCTCCTCCCCCTCCTCATCTTCCTCCTCCCGTTCCGCCTTCTCCTCCTCATCCTCTTCCTCCTCCTCCTCCATTCCTGTTCCTTATACATGACTCCCCATTTCGCACCCCAAGTCCAGTTTTTGAGGCGGGTCTTCCGTTTCGCTTGAGAATTCCTCGCCGCGCATGGCCCTGAAGCTTGAACGTGTGCAAGAGTTTCACAGATGGAGGGTGGGCCGTTGTCAAAATGTGGCTCTCGCCCTAGCGCAAGAAATTCACGGATTAAGGGCGAATGGTTTTCATCATGCGCCTCTCGCCGTTGCGCCGCGCGTTTTTTTTTCCCATAAATCATTGGTCCGAAAGATACCCGTACCCGGGGCCAGCCAATGTGAGATGGGCCGTCCGGGGGACTGGGCGCTTGCTATTGTGCCCGGTCAGCTTGCCCCGCGCGCACCAGTGCAGCATCCGCGCGTCAAGACGCAACGGCGCGCTCGATGGTTGGGTGTTTGATTGCAGCGACAAGCGCTGGTTTTTGTTAGGGACGTCTCGGGGCATCGTGGTGCGTGCGCGGCCCAAAGCCGCCCATATGTGGCGGCGCCTGTCCCAATCGACAAAAAAGTTGCATGTCCCCGCTATCCTGGCAACCAATGCGTCTGGGCCTGACCTGAGGAACGACGTCGCAATGTCGCGCCCCCAGGGGGCCGCAGCGGCCACGTCGGGGACGGCTCTGGAGGGCAGGAAATGTGCTCGAGAGCGTTTTGGGCTTGCCGCCACCTCGGCTAGGTGCGGGGACCTGCCCGAAACCACCGAGACATACCCGGACCTAGCCGGGGTGGAGTTGCGGCACCCCGGCTAGGTACGGGTATGTTTTTTGGTTTTCATGGGGCAACCGTACCTAGCTGGGGTGATCTGCGGACGGCCGTCCAAGGGGGGCGGCCTCTGGCGACCTCGCCCAGGGCACAGATTCGCGATGTCTGTGCATTGAGCAATTCGCGATAGGGCGGCTGTCGCGCAATGACGTTCGCGCCAGACTTGTTCGCATGCGCTCCCGAGTGCGCGTTGACTCCTCAACGCCCGGATGTGTGTCTGGGGGCGCGCCTCCGCAGTAGCTGGTCGACATCGGCAACATCCAACGCAGGGTCGGGCACTCCGCCGATTCGAACGCACGTGCGATCGGTGCTAACGTGCGCCCCGAGAAGACAGCGGTCTGTAATGCTCGATCGGCTGTCGTTTCTATCTGCACTTGTGCAGCCGCCGTCAGCTGCGACGAACCGCCCCCGTGGCCCCTGTGCCACCCTGTCTAGGTAAGGGTACGGGTACCTTTCGCGCTCGAGAATACAAGCAGCTGCGAGAGCTTCACGGCTCGAGGATGGATAAATTTCAAAATGTGGTTCTCGCCTTAACGCCTCGCGCATTCGATTTGACAATTGCGAGCGCTTCACGGATTGAGGGTAGCTCCTTTTCGAAATGCGGCTCTCGCCCTAGCGCCGCACATTTTCGTTTCTACCATTGCAATGGTTTTGCGGATTACCATGGTCAGCGTACCAGGAATGGCGTGTTGGACGGATTCAGGGCCATGAGGGTGCAACAGTTACGTTGGCTTGTGGCGTTGACGTCCCAGGAATAGCGTTCGGGCACGGTTCAGGATCGCCACGGTGCAACATTGAGGTTCATCCGTGGCTGTGGGATCCCGAGCTCAATGTTTGGGCATGCTTTGGGGTCGTCAAGCGGTTGTTTTCCAACGGGGCAGTTTCTTCAGTGGAAATGTTGTATGGGGTTTACGAAGAAGGATCTTAGAGGGAAGGTTTGAAATAGCGCGCCCGCAGCGCCGGGAATACGGAAAGGGGGGCCCCAGCTTCAAGCTACCCCCCGTCTCCCTTCCAAAAGGGGGTGGGGGAGCTTCCGAAGGTACCCCCCCCACCTTCCCTTCCGTAAGGGTTTCTAAGTTAGGTGGGCCTTGGCAAAAAAGGGGGGGGCTTCGAAACTCTTCCCCCTTTCCTTCCCTTGTCCGGAGCAGAAGGTGAGCACGGGTTTCCCTTTTCAAGGGGGGGTGGCTTCGGAAACTCCCCCCCCTCTTTCATTTTTTGGTCTGGACACAGAGGGGGGCGGCTGCAAGCTACCTCTCTCAACCCTCCTCCTTTGCAAAGGGGGGGGGTTTCCAAAACTACCCCACCCCCATCCTTTCCGGGGTTATTGCAAAATGGCTGAAACCCTGCAGACAGGTGCGAACCGCAACGCTAGAGAACGCCTGGGAAAATAACGACGACTCCTGGTTCGTTCTCTTGTTTTCTTGTTTTCTCGGCCCCTGTTTCGTAGTCTCGTTGTCTCGGGCCCTAATTCCTTGTATCGTTTTCTCGTTTTCTCGGCCCCTGGTTCGTCTTCTTGTTTTTCGTGTTTTCGGCCCCTGGGTCGCGGTGTCGTTTTCTCTGACGCTGGTTCGTGTTCTCGTTTTCTCGTTATCTCGGCCCGTGGGTCGTGGTTTTGTTTTCTCGGGCCCTGTTTAGTTTTCTAGTTTTCTCGTTTTCTCGGCCCGTGGGTCGTGGTTTTGTTTTCTCGGACGCTGGTTGGTATTATCGTTTTCTCGTTGCCTTGGCCCCTGGGTGGTGATCTCGTTTTCTTTGACCCTGCTTCATTTCCTCGTTTCCTCGTTTTCTCAGCCCCTGGGTCGTGGTCTCGTTTTCTCGCAACAAGCTTTTTCTGGTGATCTCGGCCCTTGGGTCGTGATGTCGTCGGGCCCTGGTTCGTTTTCTCGTTTTCTCGGCCCCTGGGTCGTGGGCTCTGCAAGGGCCTCCAACCGAAATGGAAGGGGACAACAGTATACTTGGATGGCATTGCCTGCCTATAGGTGCTTCCTCCTCATCATCATCATCGTCATCATCATCATGATCATCATCATCAGCATCAGCATCAGCATCAGCATCAGCAGCATCATCATCATCATCATCATCATCATCATCATCATCAGCATCAGCATCAGCATCAGCATCATCATCATCATCATCATCATCATCATCATCATCATCATCATCATCATTTCCTTCTCCTCCGCATTCTTTCCTCCTCCTCTGCTCCTCCTCCTCCTCCGCCTCCTCCTTCTCCGCCTCCCATATCCGTGCCACCCCACCCCCTGAGCTCGCGTCGTGCTGCGCCTTGCTGGCGCCAGGCTGCACAGGGCCCAGAGGGCGCCAGCTGCACACCTGCACCGATTCGGAGCCCAGCCGATGCGGAGCCCAGGGTGGGTGTCTGCGCCCGCGTGGCCCGGGGAGGAAGGGACCCACACAGGACGGGGCTTTGCAAAGGGGGGCCCCGCTGGCTCCAGAGGGGGCCCTAAAGGGCCCCTTTGGGGCCTCTGTCCTCCATCACCCATGCAGGTCACCCGCCCGAGTCCTGGAGGCCTCTCGGCGGGCCTTTTGCAAAGCTCTTCGGGGACCTCTCGGGGTACAGCTGGGGGTCTTCGGGTGAGAATGCCAGACAGAGCTGGGACGAGGATCGATCCGTTCCAGAGCGTTCCAGAGCGCTCTCAGAGCGATCCGGAACGCTCTGAGAAGGCCGCGGCGCCAGATACATCCTCCAGAGCCGCTGGATCTCAGAGGTTCTCGATTTATCCCCACCTGGATGTATCCTCGTCCTGGCCTCGTCTTGGATGCACCAATCCTTGGCTCAGGATCGGCCTGGCCAGGAACCATGTAGGTATGTAGTTGCCGCCCTCGGACAAAGCGCACCATGTCCCTCCACCTCCGTTCTCGAAACACATCTGGTTGTAGATTGTCTTCATGGTGTGCGACGAAGATGCCCCCCCCGCCCCTCCCTCGCCTGTCAGGCGGACGACGCGCTGGGGGACCCCGAGGAGGCCAAGTCCAGGGCGCGGGAGTGGCAGTTCCAGCTGCGGGTGGAGGCCAAGCGGATAGAGATGGAGGTGCCCCGGCCCGCGCTTTCGGGCCCGCTCCCTCGGGGAGGGCGGCGGACGGGGACGAGGAGGCCCCCTCGCCACCAGAGCCGGATTGGCTTCGAGATCCTGGTCAGAACGCGCCCCGGGGGACGTCTGGGGAGTATTGGTATCGGTGCCGTTCCATCCTCTGACGCTCTCTCGGGGAGGGCGGCGGAGGGGGAGGGGAATGAGGGAGGAGGAGGAGGGAGGAGGAGGAGGAGGAGGAGGAGGAGGAGGAGGAGGAGACGGAGACGGAGACGGAGACGGAGTAGGAGGAGGAGGAGGAGGAGGAGGAGGAGGAGGAGGACCAGAGGAGGAGGGGGATGGGGAGGAGGATGAGGGGGGGGATGGGGCATGGGGAGGAAGAAGGAGGAGGCCGCGCGCAAGCTTTTGCGTGCAGCCGTCCGGCCTATGCCGAGTGCTGCGAGAGTTTCTCCTGTACCACCTCCTTCACCTCCTTGCTGCCTCCACCCTTCCAGGGCTGGGCGCGAGGGGGTTGAGAAGAAGGGGTGAGGGAAAGTAAAGGCGGAGGAGGAATACGGGGGAAGGGGTGAAATGAGGAGAAGGGGGAGGACGAGAACGAGGGGAGAAGTGGTGCGGCAAGTTGGATGCGCTCCCGCGCAACATCTGAGGTTCTTCCCATCCCACCCATTCCGTTCCACTGATGCCTTTCCATCCGCCGACTCGGTTGTCCTAGTGGATCTTGATGCTGAAATGATAGTTTCAGGATTTGACCCATCGATTGCCGCGCAATTGCGGAATGGGATGGTTGTTCATTGGAGGAGGAGGAGGAGGAGGAGGAGGAGGAGGAGGAGGAGGAGGAGGAGGGTGTGAAGGCGGATGAGCAGGAGGAGGAGGAAGAGGATGAGGCGGAGGAGGATTAGCAGGAGGAGGAGGAGGAGGAGCAGGAGGAGCAGGATGATCAGGAAGAGGCGCGACGAGGGGGAGGGGGACGACTACAGCGAGGAGGTAGATGGGTCCAGAACTGTGGCCCGTGCTGGCGCCGCCCGCGCAGCTCCAGCCCCCCCGACGGGGAGCACTGCTCCTGCAGGGGCCGAGGGGGCCCCTCCTCCTTGCCGACGACACGCAAGGGTTCACTCGGGCACGTCCCTCTACAGGAGGAATGTTCAACAACAGTCCACAAAATGGTCTGGGGACGTTTTTGTTTGTACTATGTTTGACCATTTGGGGGTATTTTTTGTCATCTTTTTTTTCTCGCCCAGAATCCGCCTGTAGGGGGACACGCCCGATTCAACGCAGGAGTGAGCCTTCGCCGGAGTGACCTTTTGTGGTGCGGGCCCACAGGGGCCTCCCGACCGCCGAGCGCGCAGTCGGAGGCGACGACAGGGGCGAGTAGCCCAGGGGGGACCCATACATGCATCCAGGGCCGCTGACGGCCCGTGCCTTCGGCGAGGCTCCCGGGCGAATGCGTGTAGTGCCCGCCCCTGGGTTATTCGCCCCTGTCGTCGCCGCCGACAGGGGCCTCCCGACCGCCGAGCGCGCTGCGATAGCAGCGTCTTGCGCGCCTGCGTTTGGTCCCCCGCGGCCCCCCCAACGAAAAGCCGCGCACCGAGGGCCACTCTCTTGCCCCAGGGTCGCTCCTGCGTGCAGAGCCGATCTTGGGGCGACGCGTTTCGGGCCGCGGCTTCTGCCGCACCGGAGGTGTGCCCTGGCGCGGGTCAGGGCTGGACCTAAACGCTGTTCTGTTGGGATTCCGGCCGTGTTTTGTGTTGTTTGTTTTGGCAGGGAGGTGCAGGAGAACAGGTAGGCAGAGCAAAAAATAACAACATCACGAAAACAACACGAAACACAACGTTTAGGTCCCGCCCTGGCACGGGTCGTGCTCAGAAGAGTTGTCGCGACGGCCAGCGACAATCACAGCTTTGGAGGGGGGGTGGGCCTCAGGTTCTTCGCCGTCGGGCTCTCCACCTTGGAGGGCTCTTCGTTGATGGACGTCTGCATGGGGCCTCGGGCTCTCGGTGAAAGGGCCCATGTTCTTGACCCACGTTCTCGTGACCCTGTTTCGATTGTGCTGAAGGAGTGCCCTGGCACGGGTCGCCGTACAGGGGAGACCCGTGCCAAGAAACACCCTGCTTGCCTCCAGGGTGCCCTCGGTTTCTGGGGTTTCGATGTTTTTGCCACGGAAATCGTGACCTGCCACGCCGAAAATCAATGGACGTCCTGGGGTCTCAGGGTTGGGTTGTTTGTGGAAGGTTTCGTGTAAACTAGCCTCCACTGTGTGCTCGTGCCTCTGCCATGGGGGGGCGTCCTCGCGGCTGCCTCTGGTGCGAGGAGGGCGGGGGCGAGCCCCCCATGCCGTCGGTTCGACCTCACCAGCCTGCTCGGCGCAGTCTCGTGGTGCCGCGCTCAAGCTTCCGCAGAATTCCCTCCTCCCTCCCTCCTTCCTCCTCCTCCTCCTCCGCAGAATTCCTGGGTCGGCGACGGGGCGGCGGGCGCGAAAGGCCGGCAGATGCCAGACCTGCTCGAGACGCCATTGAGGAGGAGTGGGTCGAGGAGGATGTAGAGGCTCTGTGGAGGAGACAGAACAGGAGGAGGGGGCAACGAGATGCGGATCGGGTAGAGGATCGGGAGGAGGAGGAGGAGGAGGAGGAGGAGGGATCAAGAAGCGAGGGTATGTACCAGGAGGGATCAAGAAGCGGAGGACTGGCCGACGAACACGGCCAGGACCGAGGACCGAAACGTTCCTCGTGTTCTTGTTGAAGGCCATGCCTGACTTCACTCCACGCGTGCCCAGAGTCATTGCCCTGGGTGAGCCGGATGAGGGGACCCCGGGGGACCTCCGGACGATAGACTGCGAGGGAGGCCGAGAGGCGAGTTTCCCCCCCCACGCCCCCCCCCCCCCCCCTGTCGTCGAGCTCCCTCCACGACTCTGTACGGCGAGGGCAGCCGAGAGACCCTCCAGGGACCCCCTCGCCATGGAAGGCAAGTGGGCACACATGGCATGGGTATGGAAAGAGTGGGGACGAGAGCCGCCGGCAGTTCCCGCCCACTTTGAGCAGGAATCGCTGTCGGTGTCGCCGCGGACGGCGTCGATTGGAGTCAAGAGGTCGCCTGACCGACAGCGGCCGCTGTCGGATTTGGACGACGTGTGTCGTTGGTCACCGTGCCCGTTCTGGGCGTGCCAAGGGCCGGGTCGGCGGGCCCCGCCCTTCGGGCTGCTTCCCAGCGCCCCGTCGTTTCTCGACGCTCCCAGGGGGCGAAGGCCCTGGGGTGCAGGACCCGCTCCCCGAAGGACCCGTTTGCCACACGCCAGCGTGAAGGACACGGACACCGCCGCTCGTCACAGCGAGCCCTCATCACCACGTCTGGGTTCGCCTTGAAGTCTTGGCAAGATCGTGCTTTGGACGAAAGGGGGGGGAGGTGGGCGCGATGCAGGCTTGATGGTCTTGGCCCGTCCTGTTCTCCGCCCTCCACCCCCCCTCTTCACCCTTCTCAGGTTGGCCCTCCTCGTACTGCCGCTCCTCGGCACGGTCGGGGAACTCTTGGATACAGTGGGGGCCCATGCCAAGAAACACGTCTTGGGATCTCGAGGTTGGGCTTCTCGTGGAAGGTTTCTCGTGGACTGGCCTCCAATGTACCCCAGGACGCCCTGTGCAATGGATGCTCCGTATCCTCCTCGGTCCTCGAACCTCCTGGACCTCCTCTTCCTCCTCCTCCTCCTCCTCCTCCTCCTCCTCCTCCTCCTCCTCCTCCTCCTCCTCCTCCTCGATCCTCGATCCTCCTCCTGGCCCTCCTGCTGCTCAGGGCGAACGAATCCAAAGGATGTGTCCTGGCCCTCCTCCTCCTCCTCCTCCTCCTCCTTGTGGTCCGCCAGCTCCGCCAGCTCGGGCCCGCCGCGCCTCGGCGCGAGACGCCGTCCACTTCCCGGGCCCCGGGCGTCCACGGCCGCGGCCTCCCGAAGCCCCCCCCCCCCCGGTCCACGGGGCGGAGCGACACGTTGTGTCCGCTCGCGGGGCACAGAGAGATGGGCTTGTTTCCCACCACCACCAACAGAAGTTGGAGAGGGAGGGGGTCTTCCTCCTCCCCCTCCTCCGCCTCCTCCTCCTCCTTCCCCTATCCTCCTCTCCGTCCTTCTCCTCCTCCTCCTCCTCCTCCTTCCCCTATCCTCCTCTCCGTCCTCCTCCTCCTCCTCCTCCTCCTCCTCCTCGTCCTCCTCCTCCTTCCCCCCTCCAACTTATGGTGGTGGTGGTGGTGGAAAACAGGCCCATCACAGAGCGTGGCGCTGGGGCCGCGGCCGCGGCCGCGTCGTGCTGGAATCACCGTACGGACGCAGGGCTATAGTTTTGATTCCTGCGGTTCGATTCGATTCGGCTTCGAGATGGCTTGACTTCGATTCGATTCGACTTCGATTCGATTTAGTTCGTCGATACGATTTGGTTTTCCGATCCAGGCTCCGATGTCTTATTGGAGGCATTCTAGCCTGCCGATTTCTGCCGATTCGACTTTTCCCGACTCGGCTGCCGATATTCCGCCGCTCCGATTCATCCCGATTGCCGATCCGACCTATCGATTCGATCCTGGGCTGTCCTGCGCTGGGGCCGCAGCCGCGGCGTGCTGAACTCAATCCGGTCGGACCTCGGGGGGCAACGGTAGGGGGGATAGGCATAGTGGTGGGTGCATCGGACCCCCAATCGCCCATTGATCGCCGATAGGGGCCCGACAGCCCCAGCCCGCCCAGGAAAATGCGGAATCACTTATGGAGGCCTATCGCCAATTTGTCGGCGATGTATCGCCGACTCCTGGTCGATGTTTCCCCCCCGTATCCCTGTCCCCCCCCCCATCGTTGCCCCTTCGGACCGAGGTATAAGATCCAGGCCGATTCGGGAAGGGTGCCCTGATGATCTCCGTGCTTGTTGGATATCATCGTGCATCCTGGGGGAGGGTACCCTCGAGTGATCTTGTGGTGTTTCGCTTGGCAGGCGGAGGATCTCGTGCTCTTGGGGGAGGTTCTCCTGTCGGCGGCGAGCCCAGGGTGGCGGTGAGGGGGGGGCGGGCCTTCTCCGAAGGCCCGGAAGTCCCGCGGCCTTCCGAGCAGTTCTTGTTGAAGCCTTCCACGGAGACGCAGAACACCTCTGAGAATTGGGCGTTGCGTAATGGGGGGTTCATAAACGGGGGGGTGGCGAGGGTGGTCCGAAGAGGTACCCAAACGGTACCTAAACGAGCCCCCTGGGGCTCCGGAGGGGCCCGAAAGGGGCACGAAAGGGGACCGTTTCTGACCCCCCCATTTGTGACTCCCCCATGAAGCCACGCCCAAGAGAAGGCAACAAGGCATCTGAGAAGCCCCGCCGCCTTTGAGAGGGCCTTCTCCTTCCCACTCCCCCCCCCCTCGCTCGCCGCCGCCTCTCTCCTATATGGGTCCGACCGCGGCCCCCGGCCGTGGCAGCGGCGGGGGCGCCGAGGCCGGCCGGCCAGGTGAAGCGGATGCGCGCGGAGGAGCGCCGCCTCCGCCAGAGGATCGCGGCCCGGGCGCAGCGCGGGCACCGGCAGGACGCGCGGGCCTCGGCTGGGGGGGCCGGCGGAGGCAGGGCGCCCTGGGCGAGCTTCGTCGGAGGGGGAGGAGGTACCCGTACTGCTACTCCTCTGCCCGCGTTCCCCTCTTTCGGCCTCCTGGGGGGCCCTCGTCGCCACCGCTGGATTTTGCCTCGAAATCCTGGTCATGACGCATCCGGGGAGAGGTCCGGGGAGTAGCGGTGTCGGTACCTTTCGGTCTCGCCATTTGGGCGTTTTTTTTCACTGGCTGCTACAGTTGGCACGAGGTTGAAGAACGTCCTAGTTTCGGATGGGGTGCCCTTGTGTTCTTTGCCGTTGGGCTCCTCCCTTGGAATAGATTTATTTGTTTGATGTCTTCATGGGGCCTTGGGCTCTCGGCGAAGGGGCCCATGTTCTTGACCCACGTTCTTGTGACCTCGTTTCGACTGTACCTTGCTCGGCCTTCGGCCGAGGTTGTTCGGCCGAGGGTGTCCAGGCCAGTGGCAGCCTGCCACCTGCAACTGCCACAGGGAGGAGGCAGGGCGAGCACGGGGGCCTGGAGGAGGAGGGGCCCCGTGAGCAGAGCAAGAGCACGAGGGGCTGGACGAGGGGGCGGCGCAGGAGCGCGCTGGGCCGGATGAGGAGGCCAGAGCACGAGCGCGCGGGCCTCGGCCGAGAAAGCTGCCGAGGGGCTGCCGGCAGAGGCGCCTCTCGAGGCGTCCCTCGGGGGCAACGTCGGGGGGGGGGCTTAAGCTTCGGGGGGGGGGACGTGACGGCCCCTCAGCCGCGGCCGCCCTCCTCCTCCTCCTCCTCATCCTCCTCCCTCCCTCTCTCTCTTCCTCCCTCCCTCCCTCCCTCCCTCCCTGCCTCCTCCTCCTCCTCCTCCTCCTCCTCCTCCTCCTTCTCTTACTCCCTCCTCCTCCTCTCTCCTCCTCCTCCTCCTCCTCCTCCTCCACCTCCTCCTCCTCCTCCTCCGTCGTCGCCGCTAGGGGCCCAGCAGATCTTGATGTTCTTCGCCGTGGGGCTGCCTTCCTCGGAGTGCTATTCGCGCTGTATGCGTCTCCCTGTGAGTCCTGGAGCTCTCGGCAGAGGGGCCCAGGTTTTCTCGGCCGGCGTTCTGTTTTTCGAGTAGGGGCTCGACGACAGTTGATTTAGTTCGCCAGAGGGCGTCGCGACCGTCATTTTTGCGGGTCCAGGTCTGTCGGTTTCGGTCCCAGGCCGTTTTCACTAAAGGGTGGTTGACTAAAGGGAGGCTTGTCTACCGCCGAAAACTTGATTTTACCGCTGAATGCGTGCATATGTGTATATATATACATACCAGAAAAACGTAGAAGGCTCGTACATTTGCTTGACATGATCTCCATTTGTTCGTAGATCTGGCGGGAAAATCAAGTTTGGGGTAACTCAATTCTGTGGTCGATCCCCTACTCGAAAGTCGACGTTCCCACCCCCCTTTCCCCCGAGCTGGCCCCCCAAACGTTGCCCCGTCACGGAGGAGGCCCCTTCCCAGTTTCCGCCGGCGTGCCGAAATGGCCGGGCCGACCTCGGCGACTCTGCTGCGGCCCGCCCGAGCCAGAGCGGCTTGAGCCAACGGCTACGGTTTTTAGCACACTCGCGCACACGAAAAGGCATTCGGCGCGTTCTTTGTCCACACGTGAGTGTGTGTGTGTGTGTGTGTCGTCGTCGATTCTGCCAGGCACACTGCGTAGCACCGGCTCGCGCTGCCGCTTGGTCGCGGCGTCCGCGTGGCGTTTGCCAAGCTCGCCTAGAGCAGTCAAGCGGTCAGAAGTTGTGCGCCGTGGCCCAAGTTTCGTCTTTCAGCTTGCAAGTGACACACAAACACCAAATGTTGTCGATCCCCGTTTCTTAGACTTGTAGACACCCCCATCCATCCAGGTATCCTCTCCCCTGTCGCCTCATCGTTCGTTCCCTCCTCTGCGCTCGTGTCCTCTGCCTCGTCGTCGTCCTCCGAATCTCGCCACCGCCAGGGATGGCGCCGCCCTAGGATGCCATGACCCGAGCTTGCCTTGCACTCGCACCGCGAACGTCCCCGTGACCTGGTCGTGGTGATCGCACAGCGAGACTGAATCGGCACTGCTGGTGCGTCTGCCGCGCAGCTGGCGCCGCACCCCCGTATCCCTCCTGCCCCGCCGGCCGAGGTGCAGATGCTCGCGGGCGCCCTGGTTCAATCCCGCAGGGTGGCCGCCCGCCTGGAAAGCGCGAGGTCTGCGATGGAGGCGCGCCCCCCCCCGCCCCCCTCGGAGGAGGACGAAGTGCTGACAACGCTACCCTTGCCGCATCGTTTTCGCATCGTTTTGGCCTCCTGGGACGTCCTCGTCGCCACGGCTGGATTCGCCTCGAAATCCTAGCCCGAACGCACCTCGCGGAAGGTCCAGTTTTGTTGCGCCCACCCCTTTGGTTGAGGGAAGCATTGCAATGACCATGACCAAGATGTCGCGTCGTCTTGTCGACTTCGATTCTGGTCATGGTCCATGCTGGCCGTCGCCGATTCGCGAGGATGGTCCACGAGTTGGCGATGTCCAACGTGGGCGATAATTGGCGGCGCGCGCAAGGGGGTAGGGGGAGGGAGAAAGGCTTCGTAGAAGGAGGCTGCTTCTTAGAAGACGCCGGCCGTTCATCTACAGAGAAGGCCCGCGGCCCGCGCCGTCTACGAAGAAGGAGTGCTTCTAAGAAGCCTTTCCCCCTTCCCGGGCCTCCCTCTACCCCCTTCTGCGCGCCGCCAAGATAACCCGGATCGGCACCGACGTTTCCGCGCTCAGCCCCTTGGTCATGGCCATCGTTTCCCCCTTCCCTTAAGCCGGGCCTGTCCCTCTAGAGGAGGAATCTTCAAAAATTGGTAAAGAATAATTCGGGGACGATTTTTTGACGATTTGCGAATATTGTGGAATATTTTTGGACTAATTTGCAACTTTTTCGCTCAAAATCCCCTTGTCTGAGGGACAGGACCGACCTAACCCTTTCCCCCCAAAAAACGTGCGGAGAGGCAGGAGCACGGTCCGCTCGCCCGCAGCTCGCTGCGCGCAGCCGGCCCAGCGGACGGAGGAGGCATGGGCTCGGCCCCGCCCCGTTGGAGAGCGATAGGGGCACCGCCGCTCGCTTACAGCGCGCTGCGTCTCCTTGGGGGGGCACGGGGGGCCGGAGAGGAGGAGGAGGAGGAGGAGGAGGAGGAGGACGTGGGGAGGCGGGGGCGGGGCGGGGGGGGGGGTAGAGAGTTCCCAGTAATGGAGGAGGACAATGGCTGATGCGGCGGGGGCGGGGGAAGGGGGGTGCGCAGAAGGGTGCAGGGAACCGGGGAAGTTGGCAGCCCGGATGGATGAGGAAGAGGAAGGGGAATAGGGGGTGAATGAGAGGGATGTGCATGTGTGGAGAGGGAGGAAAACAAGAGAACAGAGAAATACATATATATATAGAGATAGCGAGGAAGAGAACGAGAGAGAGAAGCAATGCGGGAGAAAGAGAGAGAGAGAGAGAAAGAGAGGAACAATGACAGAGAGAGAGAGAGAGACAAAAAAAAACAAGAAGGAGAGAACGAGAGAGAGAGAGAGCGAGAAAGAGAGAGAGAGAGAGAGAGACAAACACACTCTCTCTCTCATACACACATATATATATATATACATCCACACATACACGCATACACATACACAATGGTTCGCAGGTGCGGGACGGAGGAACCGCAAAGAGGAGGATGAGAAGGGAATTGGGTGGGAGCGATGCGAACGGAGGAGGGAGGAGACGGAGGCGCCGTAGTTGGAGGTGGAGGAAGATGAGGAGGAGGAGGAGGAGGAGGAGGAGGAGGAGGAGAAGAAGCCGAAGAGCTCTACGAGGTATCCCGCCGGAATTCCGCCCCACAAGGTAAAGAGAGTTATTCGCAGAGAGATTGGTGTTTCAGAAAGGCGTTGGGGCTCATTAAATCGATCCAAACATGCAAAATCATACCGTGATTTTCGATTTCAAGACACGGACCATTTTGATTAACCACGATGTATTGCTGATTCAGCGTTGGTATCATCGTTGAGTGTCGTTACTCCTCTGACCAACTCCCCATTCGACCAGCATCTCTCCCCCACTTTCCGTGCTTCCAAGCCCTTCCCCTCTCCGTCCTCTCCCCTCCCTTCCCTCTCCCCCCCCCCACAGTCCCCTCTCCTCCCACTCCTCATCTGCACCTCTTCGCGACCTCGTCCTCCCCCTTCCTCCCCTCTCACCTCCTACCCCTCCTCCCCCCCTTCTCACCCTTCCGCCCCCCCCCCCCCGCCCTTCCTCTCACCCCCAGGCAGTCCTCCTCTTCCCTCTTCCACCCTCGTCCCCATCCCCAGCTCCTCTCCCTGGCCCCCTCTGTGGTGGTCCCGGGCCAGAGCTCCGACGCAGTCTGCTGCATCCCCGGGGCGCTTGCCAGCCCCACGTCTGCCAGCCGCACCTCTGATTGCGGCAGTGCCCCCTCGCCACCCGCCCCCCTCCCACGGCGGAGGATGGAGGATGATGAGGAGGAGGAGGTGGTCGAGGAGGTGGAGGAGGTGGAGGAAGGAAGAGGAGGGAGGAGGACGAGGAGGACGAGGAGGAGTTGGACGAGGAGGGGGGAGGAGGAGAAGGAGGAGGGAGGACCACCGCAAGCCCCGGACTCATCAACGATGCTGGAAGAATCCACCCCTCCAAGCTTCATCTTCGTAGGCCCCTAATTACAAGGATTCATGTCCACTGAGGGAAGCGCAGAAGTGCCCCGTTGGGAGACAATTGTTGGAAGATCCTGAAGCGTGCCAAAACACCATTCTCGGAATTTCAACGCCGCGAATCAACCTGACTATTGCGTCTTGACGATCGTGAAATTGTGCAAGAAAACACTTCCTGGGACTTCAACACAGCGAATCAAAGTGATTGCTTCGCCCTGGCATTCCTGAATCGTTCTGAAACACGGTTTCTGATACGTTAACCTTGGGAACCCGTGACACTCGTGCAATTTGGTATGATGAGTGTGCGCGGCGCTACGGCGAGAGCCACATGTTGAAAAGGAACCGATCTCAATACATGCAACGCATGCTATCCTAAGAGGAGGAGGAGGACGAAAGAGGGGAGGAGGGAGGGGGAGAAGGGGGAGGGAGGGTGAGGGAGCCTCCCCGTCCTCCCATCCTCCACTCCTCGAGCGCCCCCCCAAAAGCGCGGGACGCCGCGCCGCCCTTAGGCCTGCAGCCTGCAGATCGGGGGCGCCGTGGCGGCCGCCAGCGCCGCCGGCGCGCTGCGGCTGTCGGGCGACGTGGTGCGTGGCCTATCGCAGGACGCCACGCTTCGGCCGCCGATCGTCGTCGATTGTCGTCGTCGTCGTCGATTGTTGTCGTCGTCGTCGATGTTCGTCGTCGTCGTCGTCGATCGTCGTCGTCGTCGTCGTCGCCGTCGTCGTCGTCGTCGATTGTCGTCGTCGTCGTGGTGGTGGTGGTCGTCGTCGATTGTGGTCAACGTCGGTTGTCGTCGTCGACTTCCTCGAGCGCCCGTTTTGGAAAAAATATCCAGGGAGGGCCTCGTCTTCGGGGATCGAGGGAGTTGATGCGTCTGCCGCGGCGGAAGTGGAAGTCGGCTTCCCAAGAGATGGCGAGCTTTTTTGGGAGTGTAAATGTCATCACCGATCTACGGAAGCGGTTGCGGGCGCTCTCGCCTCGGCGCCGGCTTCATTTTCTGTTTGAGGGCGAGGCTCCCGCTCGAGCGCGGGCTTGAGTCCCCAACCACGACGACCACAGATCGCGCTCGATATTTCCTTGTAAGTTGCCCCGGGACGCCCTGGGAAGAGAGGCCCTAAAATTCAGGAACGGCGCTCCCGCCCGAGATTTCCTCGCCAATCACCCAAGTTGGTGGTGGCGCAGCTACGACGACAACGGTTCCCGCTCTCTTCTTCTTCCTCACAAGCTATTCCGAGACGCCCTGCGCAGAGTGGCCCCCAAATCTCAGGAGTGGCGCTCTCGCTCGAGATCCCGTCGAAATCCCGTCATCGTGAAGGCCCCGCCACGACGACATCGGGACCGCCCTCGCTGCGACAGGGGGGCGAGCAGGAGTCAAGCAGTGGCGAAGCGTCCTCGTGTGCCTATAGGCCTACCAAACATTCCACGAAATGTTCTTAGAACATGTCTGGCTGGGGCTGTCTTGGTTTTACACATCGGCCTTCTGCTCTGAGAACATTGCCGTCGTTCTTAGAACATTTTCGGGTTCTACGAACACGTCGTGGTAGGCCTGCAGGACTGCCGGGACGGTCGGTCCCTGCTGGAGGACGGCACCGACCGCCGCCCGCTCCGGCCGCCCCGCGCGGGGCCCGGCGGCGGAGAGCGGGGGCGCTGGCGCCGCGCGGGCACCGCGCCTCCCAGCAGCAAGACGCGGCCCCCAGTTCGCCGCGACGCCCGAGTCCGGGGAGGCCCCCGCGGCGGCGGCCTGGGCGGTGTGGGCGGCGGCGGGGGGGGAGCACCCTTCCGGGCCTCCCAGATGGGGTCGGCGACAGATGGAGTCGGAGGATCGCGCGATGCATCGCCGATGCATCGCCGATGCGGCTCGATGCGGAGCCCGATTTGCTTCGCGCCGACGTCGCCGATGCACCGCCGAGGTCAACGCTGCATCGGTGGTGCATCGCCGATGCATCGCCGATGCATCACCTGTGCATCGCTGATGCATCGCTGATGGATCGGCGATGCGGCGCGACACTCCGACCCGATCTAATCCGACCCCATCTAGGAGGCCTATAATCCTGAGATCCTGCAGGCGACTCAGTTTTTTCGAGCCCAGCGCCTTCGCATGATTTCGGGCCCCGGGGCCCTCACAGATCGCTCCAGCTGGACAAGGGGTGCAGAACGATGGGGTCTAAGGCTCCAGGCGTGCTTTACTGCGATGTTGCAATTTTTGGGCAACGTCGGATCTCAGGTCGGGGGTTCGTAGAGTGAGGGTTATCCCAAGGTGGTGCTGGGGAACGGGCCCAGCTGTATGCTCCGGGTTGACGCGTCTCTTTCTTCCAAGGGCCGGTCGGAGAGATTTTCTTTCAAACCCCACCTTTGCCCTGACCCCACCGGTGTGCCGCCCCGATGAGGGAGGGAGGGGGCCGGGCGGGCCCAAGGGCGGGCCTGGCGGTCGGGAAGAGTTGCTCGAGGCCGTGCCGAGACGTTCCGGAGCGGCCGCGGCGCCCGAGGCTCGGCGACGGCGGTACTCATCGGTCGTTGAAGGTAGGTATTTTTGAATCCCCATATTACAATCTACTTTGAGCGCCTTCCTGCTTCAAGTGTCGAGTGGCTTCACCTTTTCCGTCCGCCCAAGGTGGCGGACGGAACACAATGTACATTCAATGCCTTCCTACTTCATGTTTCTACCTACTTCCTCCGACCGATGGGCACATCCTCCAGAGTCGCCGCATCTCGGGGGCATCCGAGGTGTCCTGGCCCGATCTTTTCCCGGTCTTGGCTGCGTGCTGCGTACAGCGGGAGAGGGGTCCACAAAAAGGAGGAGGTTCCGAGGCGGGGATATATCCATCACCACCGCCTGGGGGGTCGATCTTCGCGGACCTCCACAGGCAGTGGATATGTACATATTCGGGTCCCAGGGGGCCAGAACATATCCAGATCCACCGCCCGCTGGGGCACCAGGACGTCGGCTTCTGGGCGGTGGATCTGGATAATTCCCGCCTCGCAGATGTAGACGCCAGCCAGGTTCACGCGACGCCCGCGAGGCACCGCGCGCCAGGCCACCCCAATCGTCCTCGGGGGAGGGCGAAGAGACACCACCAGCGCCATGGGGGCTACCTCCAGCGGAGAGGTCCACGACGCTCCCAGAGCTGGGGACAGGGGATGTCTCGAGCGAGAAGGGTGGGCCACACCACCAAGGGGACCTCCCCTGACTCCCCCCGCTGGTGGTCCCTGGTGGTGTTGGTGTCGCTCGTCCTTCTTTCTGATCTCGGGGGCCCCCGGTGTGTCCCCGTCCGATCTTTCCCCAGTCGTGGTTTCGGTCACAGCGAGGGGTTCAGCAGGAAGGAGGATGTTGACGCCAGCCAGGTTCGCGACGCGCGCCGGGTCACCCCCATCATCCTGGGGGGAGGGAGGAGCCACACCACCAGCGCCAAGGAGGCCACCTCCAGCGGGGAGGTCCACGATGCCGCCCCGAGCCTGGGACAGCGGATGTCTCGAGCCAGAGGGGTGGGCCACCCCACCACGGGGACCTTCCTGGACTCCTCCCGCTGGTGATCTCTGGTGGTGCTGGTGTCGCTTGTCGTTCTTTCTGATCTCAGGGGCCCCCGATGTGTCCCGGCCGCGTCGCGGCCGTCATTTTCCAGGCTTGCGCACGCCAGGTTTGGGCCCGAGGTCGTTTTCACTGAACCACGTTTTGCTAGAGGGGTTTTTGTCCATCCCCGATCCTACATCACTACCAAAAAACAGCCCCCCCTAAACGTTCGCGGGGTACCGAACCTGACGCTGGTCAGCCCTGCTGCCAGTGGGCTCCGTCGGCACCCTGGCCGCGGGAACAGTGGTGACGTGCAGCTCTGGTGAGCGCTTGGTGCGTGAGGGCTCTCGAAGTGATCGCGGGGTGCCCTCGCATGATCCAGAATTTACCGCAGCGCATTTTTCTTGTTGATTATCTTGAACCAGATGGAGGGCCTGCGCGCAGCAGGCAATATGCTGGCACCCCCTTCGCCCCTGTGAGCACAAAACAGTGCAAAGTGATCGCTTGGTGACCACGCCTCCTGCAGATTGCGCCGCAAGGGGCACTTGATATTGTTTTGTTGACAGGGATGGTGGGGAACGTCGGCCTGGTTCTGGGTTCGCCCCAGTCACATGGGGGAGGGGTATATACGATCAGGAAAAGTGACAAAACCCTTCCCAGAGGGGAAATTGCAGGGATGGAGAACGAAGTGTCCGAAACTACTGACGTCCTGAAGTGCTGGTAGGATTTCCCTGAAAATAGGCGGAGCGGCGGAGAGTCCCAATTGTTTCCGAAATTGTTCCTCATCCCCAGGTGGAAATTTCAAATTCCCGGTCAGCCATGTCCCCGACGTCGACGACGACGACGACGACCACGACCACAACCACGTCGACAATGACGACGACCATGACGACCACGACGACGACGACGACCTCGACGACCTCGACGACGATGACGCCAACAGCGACGACCGCGGCCTCGACGACGGCGACGACCTCGACGACGACGACGACCTCGACGACGACGGCGACGCCATCGACGACGGCGGCGGCAGCGGCGGCGACGACGACGACGACCGCGACCCTGCCTCTCGATCTCGAACAGGACGACGATGTCGTCGACGACGACGACGGCGGCGGCGACGGCAACCTCGACGACGACCTTGACGACGACGGCGACGGCGACCTCGACGACGACGATGACGACGACCTTGACGAGCTCAATGACGACGACCTCGACGAGCTCGACGACGACGACGACCACTACGACCTCGACGTCGACGTCGATCTCGAAGACGACGATGCCAACCACGTCGACGACGACGACGATGACCTTGACGACCTCGACGGCGACGATGACGTCTTTGACGACGACGACGACGACAAACGTCCCTGACCACAACGACATCGACGACAACGATGACGCATACCGTGAAGACCTCGACGACCTCGACGACGACAACCACGACCACGACGACGACCACGATGGCGACGGCGACGACGACAGACGGCGCCGACGACGACGACGACCAGCACGACCTTGACGTCGCCATCGATGTTCACGGCGACGACGACCACGACGACCTTGACAACGACCACGACGACCTCGACGACAACGACGACGACGCCGACGACGACCTCGACGACGACGACGACGGCGACCTCGATGACGAAGACGCCGCGACGCCCTGCCGGCCTCGGCAGACGGCGACGACGACGACGACCACCTTCACGACGTCGACGTCGATCTCGACGACGACGACAAGCACCACGACGACGACGACCTTCGCAGAGAGCGGGCGGTTTTTGGCTGATTTTGGCCTCGGGACTGTCAGAAAAACGAGGGGAGGCAACACCGGAGCAGCCGGACGACAACGACGACGTCCACCACAACCTCGACGACGACGATGATTTTCACGACCTCGACAAAGAAAACGAAGTCCTTGACGACGCCGATGACGACCACAGCAACGACCTCGACGACAACGACAACGGTGACCACGACCACGACGAAGACGACCTGTGTGACCTCGACGACCTCGACTACGACGACGATCACGATCACGACGATCACGACGACGACGACGATGACGACGTCGACGACGGCGGCGACATCGACGACGAAGTGACGCCTTGCGGGGCTTGGCAGACGGCGACGACGACAACGACCACCACGACCTCGAGGTCGACGTCGATCCCGACCGACGACGACGACCACGACCGCTACGATGTCCTTGACGACCTCGACGACGACGACAACGCCCTTGGCGGACACCTTGACAACGACGTCGACGACGACGACCTCGACGACAACGACGACAACGAGCACGGCCAAGACGACGACGACGTTGACGACCTTGACGACCTCGATGACCCCGACGATGTCGACGACGACGACGACCACGGCCACGACGACGACGACAACCTCCGCGACGACCTGCCGACCTCGACGACCACGACGGCGACGACGACCTCTACGACGACGACGACGACGACGCCCATCGGCAGACCGGCGCCGAGCCCGCCGCAGGCGCTCCGGGCCGTGGTGGCCGACATGGAGCGCTCCGCCGGCGCTGGCGTGGGCCTGGGCGCCGCCGCGGCGGCGCCGGTGTTTCGGCCGGCGCCCGAGGCCGCCTCGGCCGACGAGGCTCGCCTCGCCTCGCCGTCGTCGTCGTCCTCGTCGTCGGCAGAGTCAAGGGCAAGGGCAAAGGCAAAGGCAAAGTCAAAGCCGTCGCGGTCGTCGTCGTCGACGACGCCGTGGTCGTCGTGATCGTCGTGGTGGTCGCCGTCGTCGTCGTCGTCGTGGTCGTCGTCGTTGTTGAGGTCATCGAGGTCGTCGAGGTCGTCGTCGTGAAAGTCAAAGTCAAGGTCAAGGTCAAGGTCAAAATCAAAAGTCGTCGTGGTCGTAGTCGTCGTCATTGTCGTCGTCGTCGGCAAAGGCGCCCAAGTGGGCCCCGTTAGCGCGGACCCCCGATGACGCCGCCCCGATCCCCTCCAGCCGGCTTCGGGTCCATGCGTTACCGCGGCCATCAGGCAACAGCTTGTGTTGACTCGATCCAGCATCCCCAGCACGCCCTCAGCGAACGGCAATTGATTGAGACCGCCCCCAGGTTCCCGAAAACTCCCGAGAACCTTCGCAACAAAAAGCCGTTGGCGCAGACTCGACGGCGAAGAGGACGATGACGATGACGATGACGAGGACGACGACAATGAGGTGGACTGAGAGGACGACGAGTGGAGCGCCGACGGGGACGACGACGAGACCGATAACGCGGACGACGCCGTTCGCCCCTTTGACATCCGCCAATCTGATTTGTTCAACGCGCGGGCCCAAAGAACCCGACCCCTCGCTGGGATCAGAGCATATCGCTTCGGATCTGCTGCTGATTGCCCCAGGGCGCGATAGCGAGGCCCAAACGAATGAAGCACGCCCGGATTGAACAAAAACATGGTTGAGGCCCACGAGGCCACTTGATTTTTGATCCCCAGCAGCTACGGCATTCCTAGAGAGGTGGGGCACGCAGCGTGGTGTACTGCAAGGAGTGCGACGGCAGCGAGGGCGTTTCGCGGAAGAGCGCGCACGATGCGCGGTGGGAAGCACGGCTTGGTCAGGCGTCTATCAGAGGAGGATGAGGAGGAGTGGGAGGAGAAGGAGGAGGAGAAGGAGGAGGAGGAGGAGGACGAGGAGGAGCAGCAGGAGGAGGAGGAGGAGGAGGAAGACGCGTGCGTACAACTGACCGATGTGGAGCACGCTGGCACTAGCACTGCAGGATGCTGAGCGCTGGGGGAAGCCTCTTGGGGGCTTCTTGGGGGCCTTTTGGGGGTCTTTTGGGGGCCTGTTGGGGCTTCTCGGGGTGCTCTGCTGGCCTCCTGGGTCCCTTTCAGCAGAATGCTCGAATTGTCGGTTCGTGGTTTCCCTCGTGGACCCCAGTTGGGGCCGTCGTGGGGCGTCTTGGGGCTCTCTTGGGCGCCTCTTGGGTTGTCTTCGGGCCCTCGTGGGCCGTCTTGGGGCCCTGTTGGGGCCTCTCGGGCGGTCCTGAGGCGGTCTTGGAGGCCTCTGGGCCTCTTTTCGAACGTCGAGACGGCCCACAAGTTCGAGAAACCTATGCAAATCATGGTCGTGTGTCTCCCAAGCCTTCTTGGGAGGCCGTGTTTCGGATCCTTCGTGGGCCCCAGTTGATCTCGTCGTGGTGTGGCTTTCCTGTGCGCCTCTTGGGCCGTCTTGGGGCCTTTTGGGCCGTCTTGAGCCGTCTTCGGGTGGTCTTGGAGGCCTGGTGGGCTTTCGTGGGGCGTCGGCATGTTGAGAAGGCGAGACGACAGAAGACTTCGAAGAACGTGTGGCACATTACTGATGTGTGCCTCGTGGGGGCCTCGTGGGAGGCATCTCGGAAGCCTCCTGGGCCGTCTTGGCGGCCTCTTGGACCGTTGGGAGGCGATCTTGGGCGGCTTGGGATGCTGGCGGCTTCTGGCCGTAGAGCCTGCCCCCTATTTCTCGATTCTTTTGGCCGCTCCTGGACAGTTCCAGAGGCCCGTACTATGCCAACGCAGGCGTTTGCCTGCGCGTTTTTGGCCTTCTGGGGCCTGTTGGGGGCCGTTTGAGGCCCTTTTGGAGTCTCTTTTGGGGTCTCTTGGGGGCCTCGTAGGACCTCTGGTGGGGCCTCCTGGGCTCGCTTGGGGGCCTTGTGGGGCCTCCTGTGGGCCTCTTTGGGCGGAAGGCCCGAATCGGTGGTTCGTGTTCCCCCTCTTGGACCCCTCTTGAGGCCGTCTTGAGGCCCTCTTGGGCGATCTTGGGCGCCTCTGGGGCCGTCTTGGGCCGTCTGGGGGCCCTCTTGGGGGCCTTTCGGGCCGTCTTGGAGGGGTCTTGCGGGCATCTGGGGCCATCTTGGAGCGTCGGAAAGCCGAAATGGCGAGAAGACCGAAAACCTTAGGAATGTCATTGATTTTTGTCTTGACGAGACCTCTTGGGAGGCCTGTTGGAAGCCTCTTGGGCTGTCTTGGCGGTCTCTTAGACCGTCTTAGAGCCATCTTGGACGGCTTGGGGCGATTTGGGGGCGTCTCCCGCCCCTCTTGGGGCCGTCTTGAGACGTTCTTCGGCACCGGTTGGCCGCCTCTTGGGTCGTCTTGGAGCCGTCTCGGGCCATCGTGGAGCCATCTGGGGAGCTGTGTTGGGCTGGTGTTGGAGGCCTCTTGCTCTCCTTTGGAGCGTCGGAGAAGCAGAAAAGGCGAGACGGCGAACAGCCTTGAAAAACCCAAGGGCAATCATTGATTTTGGCCTCGTGGGAACCTCCGGGAAGCCTCTTGGAAGACTCTTGGGCCGTCTTGGCGGCCTTCTGGGCCGTCTAGAGGCCATCTTGGGCGTCTTGGGGCGATGTGGGGGGCGGCTCCTGCCCCGCTTGGGGCCGCCTTGAGACGCACTTGGGCCTGTGAGGCCGCCTCTTGGGCCGTCTTGGCCCACCGGTCAGTCTCGTTTCACCGACCCCCATCCCCATCCCCACCCCCTTCGAGACCACCACCAAATGACCCCCCCAGTTGGGGATACACCCCTCGAAGCCCGAAGGGAGCGGCCCATCATACATCGGTATCGTTTGACCGATCCCCATCCCCACCCCCTTCGAGACCACCACCAAATGACCCCCCCAGTTGGGGATACACCCCTCGAAGCCCGAAGGGAGCGGCCCATCATACATCGGTATCGTTTGACCGATCCCCATCCCCACCCCCTTCGAGACCACCACCAAATGACCCCCCCAG